TGCCACGTAAGTATTTTTTAATGTAGAGTTCCTATTCTGTAAATGTTGATTAACATTGGTTAAACAAAAATACATTTTTTAATAGTTTTTTTTGTCTTTTAACAGTTGGTGGTACAGGAAAGAGACACAAAGTTAGGAAATGGGAAGCCAGTTTGGTGACGCCTCACCAACACAAACTGGTTATTCCTGATGGGAGCCCTGATAAGCAAGTATGTTGAACATAATATTATAAATATATTATGAAGAAGTATCTTTATATTTCTATCTGTTTTTAGTGAATTGTTTGACATTTTAATAAATGTTATTTATTTTCAGTTCATCCTGGTTATCGGTGCCTCCCATCTGCGGTCATTTGCAGACGGCATCGTTCGTATGCCAGCCGGTCGCTTTGTTTTCGGATTCATGTCGACTCCGGGAGCAGCAGCAAATGACCTTCGCCTAGAGGTACTTAATGCTGAAGTATCTCGGGAGCCTGATGCAGTTTGCATTCTGGCTACGTCCAACGACCTTACAGCCAGCAACACGCCAGAACAAGCGGGACAATCCTTTGAGAGGTACCTGAAGGCTGTTCTCAGTCGCTGGCCAAAGGTGAGTGTTTGTGTTCTCTGAACAGAAGTATTTGCTTTGGATGTATATAGCTTTTGTTAATTCATTATGGTTTTATACTGAGTTTACTGTTACTGTATGTTTTTTTAATTTATATAAACTTTTTATAAATTTGTGCAGCACTTTGTGACCCTGGTCTGTGAAAAGGGCTAAAAAAATAATGTTTACTTACTTTTCTTCAGGCTTTTTGCATGTCAATGGTCCCGCGTCTAACGGAGCCTGGGGAGAAATTGAACTTCTATAATCAAGAGTTCCACCACAGGGCGAAACGTCTGGGTAATTATAGAAATCAATTTTTCTCATTTGATTGTGGTTTCAAATATGTATTTAAAATAACTTCATGAAGTCTGTTACTGAATCATCTGGAATTGAGATGTTCTTTTTCATATCATGTTTATTCAGGTGTAAGTTTTACATCCATCGCTGAATACTACCCCCGGAGCCGTCGCCAGCTGTGGTGCCGTGATGGTGTAAGTGTAAACTAATTTCAAAGTGATTAAATTGACATTATGGAATTTTATTAAAGTTAATAAATATTTATT